TCAACAATAAAAGAAGGACAAAAGGACAGCTACAAAAATGGTTCCTTTCATTAAGACTCATATATGTGTTGTAAAATATTCACACAAAAAGAACAAGATATTTACTTTTTGAAACTGCATTAGTAATGATTAAATACCAAGTAAGCACTAACATAATGATACGCTTTCCTTTTTTTGTTTTTTTGTTTTTCGAGACAGGGTTTCTCTGTGTAGCTTTGCGCCTTTCCTGGAACTCACTCTGTAGCCCAGGCTGGCCTTGAACGCACAGAGATCTGCCTGCCTCTGCCTCCTGAGTGCTGGGATTAAAGGCGTGTGCCACCACTGCCCGATGATGACACACTTTCCAAAGAAGGCTGGGAAAGGGTTCTCAGCAAGAGCTCAGTGTGCCACCAGATGATGGGAACAGTATGCTAGGCACTGTCTAAATGCTTTCATTGAATCTATTCATTGACCCTTAACAGAAAGGGCACTGACTTCACAGCCTATGAGGAAACTAAGATAGCAAGAGGCTAAGTAACCAGCTCAGGTGTCAGATAATAGAGCCGGAATTTGAACCAAGGCTTCAAATCCCAGGCCTGTGTGTGTGTGTGTGTGTGTGTGTGTGTGTGTGTGTGTGTGTGTGTGTGTATCCCTGGCTGTCCAGAAACTCACTCTGCAGACCAGGCTGGCCTTGAACTCCAAAGATCCACCCATGTCTGCCTCCCAAGCGGTGGGATTAAAGGTGGGCACACCATGCCCAGTCAGCTCCCAGTCTTTACACTATTGGTGTGGTCCTTCCGGTTACACCAGGAAGACTGCAGCAACACTGAAAGACCCACAATCTACACAACAGTCAGGGGACACTAACAACTCCAGTAATAGGTAGGTAAGCTGGAATAAAAGCACTCAAGGGCCGGGCGGTGGTGGCGCACGCCTTTAATCCCAGCACTCGGGAGGCAGAGCCAGGCGGATCTCTGTGAGTTTGAGGCCAGCCTGGGCTACCAAGTGAGTTCCAGGAAAGGCGCAAAGCTACACAGAGAAACCCTGTCTCAAAAAACCAAAAAAAAGCACTCAAGGGATTGTCATTGCTTAATTTAAATATGCCTAAACTGCAAATGTCACCTTTTAGATGGCACAGAAAAGTATCTCCTGTTCAAATATCCAAGGTGCATATTTTTTTAATGATTTGTTTTTATTTTATGAACACTGGTGTTTCGCCTGCATGTATGTCTGTGTAAGTGTGTTGGATCCCTTGGTACTGGAGTTACAGACAGTTGTGAGCTGCCATGTGAATGTTGGGAATTGAACTTGGGTCCTCTGGAAGAACAGCTAGTGCTCTTAACCGCGGAGCCATCTCTACAGCCCTTCAAGAAGCATGTTTTAAAATGAGCTTTATGTAATGTTTTATATATTACATAAGTTCAGTTAAGAAAATTCTATCCTCCTAAACAAAACAGAGTTTCTAGAGACAACACACTCTTTAAAAATTTATCCTAGCAGGGAGTGGTAATGCACACCTTTCACCTCAGCACTCTAGAAGCAGGCAGATCTCTGTAAGTTTCAGGCCAGACTAGTCTATATAATGAGTTCCAGGCCAGCTAGGAGAGAGCTGTCTATAAAACAACAAAAACAAACAACCAAAAAAACCTTCAAACAAAAAATTTACTCTAGTTATTGGGGTTTAGCCAGCAGCTGAGCCCATGCTAGGAGGCATAAGGCTCTGGGGCTCAATCCTAGCACCCCCTCCCCCACGAAGTTTACTCTGAACAAATACTTGCACATCTTTGTGAAAGCAGATTATCAACAATCAGAATCACAGTTATGATTGTCTTAGTGCATCTGGTTCCCCAGGTTTGCTAATCTAGAGTTCGTTTCCAAATGCAAAGGAGATTACAAAGCCGCACTACCAGGGCTGCTTTCCCCAGCAGGAGAAACTAAATGCATCTCTGGAGTCAGGGGAAGCAAAGGTTCAAACAAAGCATTTATTCTTCTACAATGGCTGTTTACCTCGAAGGACAGTTAGAGAAATGACCTTGCAGATCAGAATTAAGAAAACAGAGTATCAGTATTACGGCAGCTCAGAAAGTTCTTTATATTAGGAGGAAAGAAAAGAAACAGCTTTCCCCTATGCATTGGCAACATCATGAGACATGTTACAGGGATCCTGTCATTTCGACTTAAATGATGACATTTCACAATACCTGATACAACTGATTGTGAACTGAGAATATTCTAGAAAATATAGGTAATTTTCTTTCCTTAATACATCCTACTGAACAACTTTTAAGAATTTCATTTGTGACAGGGTCTTTCTATATAGTCCATCCCAGACTGGCTTTGAACTCAGTACCCTTCCACCTCAGTATCCCAAGCATTGTGGTCAAGGGGTCCCCTCCCAGGCTTTCCCTGAGACTCACTGAGCAGTTTGTTTCCCTACAATTTGCAGGATTAAGGAAGCAAAAGCGGGGGTGGGGGTGGGGGGGGGGTGGGGGTGGGGGTGGGGTATCACAGACACACAAGTCCCTCTTCCACACATAAGAAAACAGTGTGATGCAAACCAGGCTATTACCAAAGCTTACCAGAATGCCTGAGGACAACTTGGGAAGACGAAAGAACACTTTGGATCTCTAGGCTAGTTCAGGCACTGGCATTACCTACTTTCGAAGTCCTCGGGCCAGTCAATCACTGATTGTTTCGAGGCCCCAATTTTCCCCTCTATTAAATGAGAAGGCACCAACTATGCATTTAAAGAGTTAACTACAATTCTAAATGTTGGTTTCAGTAAATAATAAGGATTCTTACTTAATGTAAGCAAAGGTAGGCCACTTCTAATGATTAGTCAAATACACACCAAAAACTTCAGTGTTTTCTGTACTTGGAAATTCTCAGCTGACAACACATGATGACTGAGAGAGGTCAGAATTAAACTCTCAAATGCAAAGCTAGTCACTTACTTATTAACTAAGGTGACTAATTGGCTATCTTCAAAAATAGGGCAAAGATCATCATCATAAATATGGGTAATAAACAAGACATGATATAAATGGTTAAATTTTGAAATACTTCAAAGTAACATTATTCTAAACTTATATATTCCTAGTTCTCTGAATAAAAACACCATACTTGCACTTACACAGTGATTTTCACATGTACCATCTCACCAAACACTATGACAGTCATGAAATGGAGTAAGTCCTTTTATCAACACAATCAAAAGTAGCTCTGAATGCTGGGTAATTTGCCTATCATTGCTTAGTAAGTGTTGGAACCCAGACTTTTAATTTAGGTCATCTGATTTCAAATTTAATGATTTTTCTGGGTGCAGTGGTCTTTAACCTCATGAGGCAGAAGCAGAAGCAGGTGAATCTCTGTGAATTTGAGGCTGTCCAGGACTATAGAATAAGACCTTGTCTCAAAATCCTAAAAAAGTGGTGACTTGAGCCAAAGTCAGCAAGACAAAAACAAAGGATAATACAACAAACAAAATGTAAGAAAGGATTTGGACTGGGTGTGGTGAAGAATGCCTTTAATCCCAGCACTCAGGAGGCAGAGACAGGACCAGGATGTTCTTTTTGAGTTCCAGGCCAGCCTGCTCTACTATGGAGTAGTGAGTTCCAGGACAACCAGAGTTACATATTAAGACTTTGTCTCAAAAAACAACAAGAAATAAAAAGCAAGAGAAAGAAAAGAAAAAAAAAAGAATCTGGCAGTTGTGTAATCAGTAAGTAAATTAACTAGATTTTAAAATTAATGATATATCAAACTTACAATTCCACTTGTCAAAAAGTAGAAGACATAGCTTTGTCACCTCATTTCAAAGACAAGTGTAAAACAGTTTGCTAACTCAAAAAATACGGACAGTATGATAACAAACATTAAACTAGCTGTAGTTAAATTGGTAAACAGCATCAAACCATTTGCTAGAGTAGTTCAGATGTGTTTATATGCATATTTTCTTCTGGAATGTGTACCTCAGGGATTTAACTGTACTATTAAATGTATCTAAGAAATATAGCCCTGAAAATGTATCTGTTTTAAAATAATATAGGCAAATAAGCTAAACAGGAGAAATTACCTCTTTAGAATCATTTTGCACCCATACAAACTTGGTCATATTTTTCTGGGGTACCAAAGGTCAGTAAAAACATTAACTTTCCACATACAAACTACTGCCTAGTAAGTTTCTCCCCTACAATCAGATCCAATGATAACACAATTCATAGACAATAACAGTTGGAATATAGCCGGGCCCAGAACTTGGGAGGCAGAGGCAGGCCGATCTCTGAGTTAAAAGTAGGCTGGTCTACATAGACAAATCCTGTCTTGAAAAAATAAAATAAAACAGTTGGAATATTAAATTCTTCATTATGAGCCGGGCGGTGGTGGCGCACGCCTTTAATCCCAGCACTCGGGAGGCAGAGGCAGGTGGATCTCTGTGAGTTCGAGGCCAGCCTGGTCTCCAAAGCGAGTCCCAGGAAAGGCACAAAGCTACACAGAGAAACCCTGTCTCGAAAAAAACAAAAAAAAAAAAAAAAAAAAATTCTTCATTATGTCAAGAGAAATACCGGGAAAGTTCTCTAAACGCTCATTCTCTACAAAATGTCAACAAGCATCTAGGAAGAACAGAAAGATAAGAAATCTGCCAATACACATGCACAGCGCCAATCTATGCATTATTAGGTTTTTTTGATGGGGTAGAAGCAAAGCAAAAGATGGCTAAGTAAAATCAAATGCAGGTCATAAGTAACCTAACACAAGGCCACACCCTCTTTTGGAATAGTGAAGATTTTTAAATCGACCACCCTGTCTGCTGCCAAGTACGTCCACGGCAGTAAAATACAAATGTTGGGGACTAGTGGTTTGGAAAGGGCAGAGAACTCTCTTTTTTATGACAGCTGGAGGAAGAGGCAAGGTCCACAGCAAGAGTTCTGAGAAGAAGGCCCCCTTCCTTTGGCAACTCTGTACCCTCAGGACACCCTCATGCCTGCACTTCATGGAGATACATTTGGAATAATGCGCTAATGGCTGGAGAGGACAAACACCACATTGAAAGGTCCTGGAAAATCAGCTCGGTCAACAGCAGCGAAGACCTTCTTCATTTTAACCAAGGTTCTGGACACCCCGGGAGGAAGGTGCTCTGTAGAAGCCAAGGACGGCTTCCAAGTCTGGAAGGAATGGTCAGGAGTGTCTGGGTTCAGTGTCCCGGGAACCAACCATGGAGAGGTGTCCCATATAACCCGGCTACCGCCAGGCTGACACAGCCAGTCAGCAGTGACCTGAAACACTCCTCAAGTGGAAAACAGCGTGTTGTGTGTCTGCACCGCCCAAGTGTGAGAGCCACGGGAGAAGCCGAGCTGTGGAAAGCCTCGGCTTGCGCCCCCGACTCCCCGCTTTCGCCTACCTACCCGCTCAGACCCCGGCTTCTCCGGATCTCAGGATCCTGGAAGCGGCTCCCAGCACCGACTCTCACACCCGCCGCTGGGCTCCAGCCAACCGGAACCCACTCGCGTCACTTCCGGTCCGGTCCCCCCGAGGAGCCCGCCTCCAAAAGAGAAATGTTCCACCTTCCTTTTGACAACCCGAGAGGGTCCTCGCGGGATTTCAGTTCGGCTTTCTCAGTTCGGGCCCTGTGGGTGTGACAAGAGGAAGGATGACTGCGCTTTGTAGTTCCTGATCCGGAACCAGTTTTTCTGGAAACCCGGAAGAAATAGGTGGCGCGCGCGAAGCGTGTTTCTTGTTCGGGAGTGGAGAACCACAAGGCGTGAGCAAGTCCTTCAGGTAAGTCTTGCTTCCTTCCAGGACGATGGAGAGGAGTGTAGTTCATTCTGTCTCTGCTGGAACGTATCTTACTATCTTATCCCACAGTCTGCCCCCTGTTAGCTACTTCATAAACTGTCTTCCGCCCGGTGGCCGCTGGAGGTCTTGCCCGGTCTGCAAACCTTCCTTTGGATGCAGAAACTAAGATGGTGGGGAGGGATAGAACCCGAATTTTAGTGTCTAGCAAAGCCTCCTCATTTAGGTAGCATTGATATGCAGTCCTAGCATGAGAAAATGGAGAGCAAGCCTCACACTGTAAATACTCACTGTCCGTTTTCGAGTTGTTCAGCCTTGTTGCGACAGGGAAAGAATTCTAAGGATGGATTCTTAGGATGGATTCAAAAGTATTTTTATGTATTGGTATTGTGGTGCATGCACCTCGTGCATGCTAGGCAAGCGCTCTACCATGAGGCTTTTGTTAATCCCATAAATGCAGGAGAACGACCACCGACCCCTATCCTGGCTAAATAATTAAAGCAAGCTTTTTTTTATTCGTTCGCATGGGCTGTTTCTCCCTAATGGAGTGGGTCAAGAGATCAGCATTGGACATGGGGAAGACAAGGAGTTTCATAGTTCAAGAGTAGGGGGTTTCCAAATGGGGGATTTGGCAGGCAAATAGGCGGGGTTACAGAAACAGAACATAAGCATAAACAAGTTGGTCCTAACAACCTCCTGAAACAAAGGCATGGTTGCCATTTCCAGGAACAGGCAAGTACAGAACCTTTTGTAGTTAAGGTTATAGGTGGGGCATAGCTCAATCCTTGAGAAACAAATTTAATCATAGACAGAAATGAATATAGTTTGTCTTTACTGTAAGATGGCTTTCAAGCCTTAGAGGCAGATTGGTTTATCACTATACTTCACTAAATTGCACAGTCTGGTCTTGAACTTGGGATGCTCCTCCCTTAACCACCTCCCTCAAAGATTAGAGTTAGCAAAGTTGAAAGTTTTTGATAAGAAATTAGGACACTGTAGGTAGAAATAGTGGGGATAGGCTTAGAGCAGTAAATACAGCAGGATTTGGTGACTGGTGGTATTGGGACAAAGGAGGGAAAGTACAGGTTTTCTTAAAAATCAAGAACACAAGCCAGATGGTGGTGGCACACGCCTTTAATCCTAGGACTTAGGGGACAGAGGCAGGTGGACCTCTGAGTCTGAGGCCAGTCTCCTCTACAAAGTGAGTGCCAGGACAGCCAGAGCTACACAGAGAAACCCTGTCTCGAAAGACAACAAAATAAAGAACACACAAAAGATGGAATGCACAATACCCTAGGTTTGATGATCAGCAAAAAAGAATTCAATCAAAACAAATAGAGTACTTGAAAACTCTGAGCGGTGAAATCTAACACAAACTGGAAGCCCACATTTGGAGCCAAAGCGCCCTGGTTGTAGGGCGGTTTGGGAATGAGTGAGATTGCTCACCTTGATGGAGTATAGAAAGAAAATTATGTAGGGACATGGGAAGAGGGAGGAACTCCCTAACTCTGGAGTCTGGTTGAAGTCTTTCACCTGTAGAGAAGCAAGAATGTTAACACAATTAACAGTTGCTTAAAGCCTAGGTCCCCTCCCAGTAGTTGTCTAGGAATCTCACTTGAAACCCCATTTAAAGGGGAAGGACCATGTCCTATGGCCCTTGGACAACCCTAGTGGCTTCTGATTATTGGTTTGTTTGTTTATTTGTTTGTGTAGCTCTGGCTGTCCTGGAACTCACTTTGTAGACAAGACTAGCCTCCAACTTACAGAGATCCACCTACCTCTGCCTCCCTAGTGCTGAGATTAAGGGCATGTGCCACCACCACCCAGAAGGCTTCTGTTCTTTTATTACCAGATTATAATTCCATCCATGACACCTTCTGTCCGAAGAGAGAAAGAGGAGAGAGTGAAAAAAAAAATGTTTCTTAGCAGCCACCCTTTTAAGATATAACTTGAGAACCACCAAATGATCTATGTGGCTGATGCTAAGATAGTTGTGATCCTCCCTTGAGAAACCCAGATCCGTGCTTGGGAATGTCTTGCTTTCTGAGACTCTTTCCTGAACACATACCCACACTTGGTTATGTCTTAGGGGGAGACATTGGATCTGTCTTGTCTGTCTGAGTCTCTTTTTCTCCTAACCCTTGAGCTTAAAAGTCTATATTTAATAACATCTCCCAACTGCTTATGAAATTCTCTTTCAGGGTTGGGGATTTAGCTCAGTGGTAGAGCCCTGGGTTTGGTCCTCAGCTCTGGAGAAAGAAAAACGAAAGAAATTCTCTTTCTGTGTTGAAACCCTCCAATCCCAGTTTTGCTTGAGTTGAGCTCTCTAAAAGATGAAAGGAACTCCTGAGAGTGACTTCAGTGTGGAGCAGCTGTGCCTCTCTTCCCTCACCACGGACAGCCTGACAGACTTCATTGCCTGTCCGTGCCAGCTAGCAGCAGGGAGAAGTCGTTTGCTTTTGAGAGCTCTCTCTTGAGGCTTTGCCACAGTGTGTGGAGCATACAGTGAGTCCTGGAGAGTACTGATCGGCTGGTTAATCGATTGATGATTGATTGATTGGTTGGAGAGGATTGGAAAAGAGCTTATAGACCAGTGCTGTCTCAGTGTGCTTCCATTTCCCCACGCTTCTTTGGGACAGGGTTACTTTATTGTAATTTATACCTGGCCCCAAACACACATGATGAGGCTATCACAGAGATGCATCAACTTGTCCGGTCTTACAGGTTTCTTCAGTGATGACAGTGTCCTTTCTCCCAGTTTGATAGAGTTGTCACTAGCCACTTTCAAATTGTTGAATAAGAGAATTGTGGCTTAGCATAACCTTAGAACTGACTATTTAGCCATAAATTGAATGTACCTACCTATATGGCACTGATGGCTACCACATTGGACAGCATAGATACAGACAGAAGGGCTATGTAAGATTGTATAATACTATCCATATTTCCAGGCAAATAGCAAGTCATTTTGCTTAGGATACTGTAAAACTGTCAGGTAAGGTGAGCATTGGATTGAAGTTGAGTTAAATAATTCAAAGGGAAAGGCTTAAAGTTTTCAAAGTCACCAGGGAATGTTGCACAAAATTCAGTGAAAGCCCAAAAGAAACAACTATGTAAGAAGAAACCTGTAAGACCAGACAAATTGATTCCTCTTTGTGATAGCCTCATGTGTGTTTGGGGCCAGGTGTGAATTACAATAAAGTAACCCTATCCCGAGAAATGACAACTGTCTGGTGGCAATGACACACATCTGTTTCTTTGAGACAGGGTTTCCTGTGTAGCCTGGCTGTCCTGGAACTTGCCCTGTAGATCAGACTGTTCCTGAACTCACAGAGATCCACCTGCCTCTGCCTTTCGAGCGCTGGGATTAAAGGTGTGCGCCACCACTGCCCAGCAAATGTCTGGTTCTTTAGCACTTTTAATAGAGAGGCACCAATACACGGTGATTAGGAGAAGTGGGTAATTGAGGTTAGAAGTGAAAGAAAAAAGTTATGCCATGGTGGGTCAAAAATTTTAGGAAAGGATTTTTTTTTTAGGTTGAAAAATGAAAAAAACAACCCGTGGAGTAGATTATTGCATAGAGCATGGCTCAGGTTATCTGGAGCAAGAGGCCCGATAAAACACGCTTGGTGAAGCAGCCTAATTAGACTGCCCAAGAAGAGGGTTTTATGGACACACTTATTTTCCTGTGCCGTTTAAGGTTGTCTGGGAGACTGACTATGAGCAATGTCAAGCCCTGAGCTTGTTGGTTTGTGAGGATGCAGAGAAGGGACAGACTGAAACACCTTTTAGAGGATTCTGATTGTGGTGACAAGAGATTAGAACATGAGATTAATGACCTCGTGGAGGTGTAGGACGTTCGTAGGAAACATGGAAATCTTTGCAGTTTTCACTGGTCTCTCTTTTCCCGCTTGTCACTGGTGTATGTGTTTTTAAATGAGATTGAGCAGCTTTTTGTAATGGCTGTTAGCTTTTTTAGAATTCAACCACATCTTCTCTGATTGATCCTCAATTTCTCATCTTTAAAAATTAGAGTTACAGCTTCCTTTTAATGTTCAGAACAACAATAAATATATCCATCTAAGTAACTGATTGTCCAAAGATGGATGAGCTTATTTGGGAGTGAACATGGCTTTGGAGCTATGCATACCTTCATAAATTATATACGTATTAAAGGATGTTGAGTCAGCTGTGGTTGAGGATGTCTTTAAGCCTAGCACCCAGGAAACTGAGGCAGGACAATCACTGCAAGGCCTCAGACTTCCAGTCCTCTGCCTCTTCCTCCTGAGTGCTGGTCAACTTCCTGCATGCTGGAACTACAAGTGTGGGCCACCATGCCTGGGCCAAGGAATGATTTTTAAAGGCTCAGTGAGGAGGGGACATGAACTGGTTGGAACCCTAATCCTTGGCTACAAGGCTCAGTAACAAGTGTGATCTCAGTTCAGGCTTGGGTGGGCACTTACTGAGCAGCTGCACTGGCAGAAGTCATCTTCTGTGTGTGCTTTTCATTCTGGCAGTCTTTAGTCATAGTCACGAGATCCTCTTTTTATAACCTCCTAGCTTTATTCCTTCTGTCGGAGTCCATCTAGGCTTCCTAGTGGCTTTACCCAGCAGGACTGCATAAGAGGATGATTTGATCACGGGCCTGAGTACCAGATGTTTGGAAGGGTCTACACTTGGCTGTAATTAGCAAGGGGGAGGTCCTTTGCCCCGCCCCTTGGCATTGTTATAAATAGCTCTTTGGAGTAAAACTCTGGGCCGGAGGATAAGGATCTAGGTCCATCCAAGGCTATCCTGTGTTTCTGTTTCTCTCCCCTCTTTATTTATTTCTATCTAAATCTCTTATCCCTCATTCATCAAGAGTCCCTGGGGTAAATGTGGGAGCTGGTCTCCCACATCCTTGTTAGGCACTGACAAAAGCAATTTGATTTTATTTATGTAATTATTGAGACAGGGTCTCTATGTAGACCACCCTAACCTCTACC